TTTGTTTTTTTTTTTTTTTATTTAAATAATTAAAAATGAAATGAAAATATTTCATAATAAAAATAAAAAAAATATTTGATTTAATATTTTTATTATTATTTCAAGGTATGAAAAATATTTAATGGCAATGGCCTCAAACCATACGAAAAAAAAAAAAAAAAAAAAAAAAAGGTTTTTCTAAACAAGTTGAAAGAAAATTTAATAATTGATGATAAAATATCCGGAAAAACGAGTCTCATTTATTATTATTATTATTATTAGTTAAAAAATCGATGAAAATTTTTTTTTTTTAAAACTTTCTCTTTAATATTATTATTATTATTATTATTATTATTGTAATCATTTATTATTTTCTTATCATTATTATTATTTACGAAATTTTTGATTGTTGGTAAACAAATAATAAAATTTAAAAAAAAAAAATTTCAAGTTTTTTTCACAATAGTCAATCGTCGTTTAATAATAATAATAATATTAAATCAATGTGATTTATTGTTATGTGTGTGTGTAAGTGCGCGTTCCTTTCTTTAATATTTTTCCTTTTTAAAAAAATTTTTACTTTTTTTTTTTACTGTTTATTTTTATTAAAAAAAAAGCAAATCATTCCTTTCTCTCTCTCTGAAAAAAATTTCATTTTTATTTCAATGTCATTTTTAAGAAATTTAAAATTAAAAAAAAAAAAAGAAAATTTTAATAACATCCTTACGAAATTACATAATAAATATTTGCAAATGGAAAAAAAAACCTTTTTTAATAATAATAATAATGATAATAATGATGATGATGATGATAGTCAATCAAGTAAAAAAATTTTCGGGTGTTAAGTTTACTTGTTAATTAAAAAAAAAAAAAAATTAAATTCGAGTTTTACAAAACGATTTCATTTGAACGATAAACCCCCCCCACTCCCTCCCTCTCATCCCTTCACCAGCCCTACCCTACCCCTTTAAAAAAAAAAAATAATTAATTTCAAAAAAAATTTACACGAAACGCCATAAAGCAAGAGTCGAGTGTTTCACAAAAAAAAAAAAAAAAATTATATGATGAACAAGTTTTAAAAAAATATATATATTTTTTTTTTTCGGATAATAAAACTTCTTTTTTGTTGTTGTTGTTGTAAATATTCGAGAACTTTCAGGTTTTTTAAATTTACACTAAAAAAAAAAAAATTAAAATTAAAAAGCAAAAAATGGTAAACATAAAAATTATTATTTAAATTAACTCAAAGTTTATAAACAAAAATATTTTTTTTCTTTTAAAATATTCAATCGGGGGAAGGGGGGAGGCGGGGGGGGGGAAAGAAAATCCCTAAATATTTATTTATTCGTGACAAATTTAGCAAAATATATTTATTAAATTGATAATTTTTTTTTTTTTTTTTTTTGGATTAATTCAATGATTATTTGGTATTAGTACCAAAAAAACTTTCTTTCATGTTTTTATTCTGAATGCATAATTAAATTGTTTTTTTTTTTTTAAATTCATTTAATTAATTTTACATTTAAATTTTAAAATAAATTTAAAATGGTTAATAACCCATCAATTATTAATCAATTTGTATAATTAAAATTAATAAAAATCCTATGTAATTTTATAGTAAATATTTTATTATTTATTTCATTACGTAAAGTAAATACATATACATTGAGTTTTTTTTTTTTTTTTTTAAACATTAATAATAATCTAAGAGAGGAAAAAAAAAAAAAAAAAAAACCGAAACAAATATAATTTAAAAAAAAAATAAGTTAAATAATAATTTAAATAACAAATGTAAAAATAGTAAGTAACACTCATTCCCTGTCAATTTTTTTTCATTATTTTTTTATTAAATTCTCGTAAATAAAAGAGATTAAATCAAAAAAAAAAAAAAAAAAGAAAGAAAGAAAAAAGAAAAAAAAAATGTATTCGCTTTCTTTTTTTTTTTTTTTTTTTTCTTCGGTACAATAAATCGAATCCCGTAGCGCAGCAGAAATATTTTATTAAATTAATTTTGAAAATTATTTAAATATATATATATATATACCTACAAATGGAATCATAACTAATAAACTTATTTAAAATATACACACATATATGTATATATATATATGTTTTTATTAAAATTTTTAGACACCTAAAAAAAAAAAAAAAATATTTCTAATATTTTATATATAAAATTTATTTTATTCTAAAGATGATTCATAATCCACTCCTTCAGATTCGGCTGAACATTCGACACTTTGAGACGTAAACTGATCATCTCCTTCGTCTAATTCGAACAATGCATTACCGACGCTATCCTTTGAAGAATTCGGTGGACTACCGACGATTCTCGCGTTTGAATTATCATTGACTAAACTTTCTTTTGACATTTGAGATGAACTATCACAATTATCGTATCCCTTAGGAGAGAATCCTCCCATATTTTCGTGTGAAAATCTTTCAGGACTAAAATAATTAGCCTGAGAATTATTATCCTCGTTTTCCTTCCACGAAACGGGACTCTCGCAATTTCCTTCTCTTGTTTTCTCATTATTTTCATTTATTTCATCATTATTTTTTTCTTTATTTACATCTTCGACTTTTTCTTCTCCTTCTTCTTCTTCTTCTTCTTCTTCTTTCACAACAATTTTTGGATTTTCGACGTTATCGGAAACTTGCATTTCGTTGTTCTCAGATATTTTTTCTTCTTTAACACTAGTACTTTCTTTTTTTTCATTTCCTTTTTGATATCGTGTTACAAAATCAATAATTATTTTAATTTTTTTCAATATTTTTTCTTCTTCTTTCAAAAGATTGCTTTTAGTATCTTCTTGAAGCTAAAAAAATAACAATCGTACATTTAATTTTAAATAATTTATTAACGCATAAAACACATAGTGAGACAAAAATCTCACCAGTAACGCTTCAGATAGTTCTGCTGCTTTTTCTTCCAACTCTCTTTTTTGACTGTAAAGCTCTTGATTTTTTGCCATTAATTCTATTTTAAAATTTTCTCTTTCTAAACAAAAAAAAAAAAAACAAATTTTGGTTTTATTAATATTAATTAATAAATTAATAAAACTCTTAATAATCTTTATTTTAAATTTAACCTGTGTATAATGTAGCCGTATCGGAATCTGTGTGGTTTTCTATATATTCTTTTAGTTTATTATAACTTTCTGCGACATTAGGACATTTTGACACAAATTCTTCTTTACTTGATTCTTCACTACTCGCTTCATCGGGAGATCTTTTATGCTTGCAACAGGGGCAAGATATAGATGATGAATTCGGAGAAACACAAGATAAATGGTAGCTAACACTGCAGTCCTTACATACATTAAGCATACCTGATCATTGATAATAATAATTAAACTTTATTATATCGATTCGCTGTTAATTTTTTGATAGTTAAACATATCAATTTTTTTTTTTGTTATTTAAAATATTAAAATTAAAATTACCCGAGGTATGACAAACAAAGCATAACATATTAGAACTAGTGGAATCGGGGGTAGAATTCCTTGACTTAGCTTCTGATTTATCCATATTTAAATTTGATATTTTAATATCTGTAATAATAATAAAATTTTCGTATATAACAATGAACTTGTATAACAACAATAAATTAAAAAATATTCCAAATGCTCCAAACCTTCAGAATAAATTTTTCCTGATTTTTCATAGTCGAAATTTCTATCCTTTTTACTTTGTTTAATTGGTAACCCACCATCACCACCGTCTTCCGCTTTCATTTTTTTACCCAATGTTTCTACTTTTGCAATTTTATGCGGCGAAAGATAGGTTCTAGATCTTTTCCACTGTAAAAAAAATAAATAAATAAATAAAAATTATTTTTAAAGATGTCAGAAAGTAAAATTTTAAAATAATCAAATGAATTATTTACAGCATAACTTACAGCAGGTATTTCCCAATCATTGTTGTAAACAAAATTGGGATTGTTTGTTGCTGTGCTTCTTCTTTTCCTTTCAACTTTTCTATTTAATATTTCATGAAGCATTTCTTTTGGGATAAGACACAAAGCAGTCATAAATCTATAAATAAAAAATTTTTAATTTAAATTAGATAATACATAAACAAAAACATTTAAAAAACTAACTCTGTCATTTAACTCATTTATAATAACATATCATAACATAGTAATGGAATTTCGAATAAAGCGATTTACCTGGCTTTCAAGTCTTTTTCATCAGTTGGAGGAGGCGATGGCAGTGGATCATAGTAAACTGGAATATCTTTGAAAACTTCTTCATCTGATAGAGGCTTTTGATTTCTTTTTAATTTAGGTGGCCTTAAATCTCTCCTTTAAATAATTTTTACATTATAAAAATTATATTGATTTTTCAGGAAGAAGTAAAATAATAATATATAACATACCTTGAAACACTTCCCAGGTATACATTTTCTTTGACATCGGGTAAAAGCATTGGCCTAGCTTTTGGAACCGGTACAGGCAACATAAATGGAGAAATATATTCTACGCTATCATCTGATAATGAGGAACTAGAGGAAGGTGTAGGGGAAGGAGAAAGAGAGGGTGGACTATGAGTGGGCCTGCATGATCTAAAACAAACAAAAAATTATCAATTACAGTAAGTTAATTTTTCAAAAGAAAGTAACGGACAGAAATTATACATTATATGGAAATATTTTTGCGTATTTAGCACTGTTTCCTCGAAAACTTATTTAATGAATAAAATAAAAAATTGATTAAGCTGTTACTAATAAAGATTCGAAACATTTAAAAATTTTAAAATGTAAATTATTATAATTAATTTTGGGTTTAAAATAGGCGAATTGATATTTACATCACTTTAGGTGCCAAACTTAGATCTTTTCGTCTTCTTTTTTTCGATTCCAATTGTCCAGGTTTAATTTTATATAAATTAAAATTAAAAACTGGAACAAACTGATTGTTATTTATATTTTCTTCAATTTCTTTTCTAAATTGTTGAAGCAAAAGTTTTTGCCTATCATTTAACTCGATAATATGTTTTTGTATTCCACATAAATCTTGTTTTATTTGACTTTCTAAGTCTGGATACTCTTTAAGCTTTAAAGCCAAAATCTAAAAAAAAGAGAAAAAAAAAGTAAATAGGTAAATAAATTATTGATTTTTAAGTAATTAATTTTCCTCTAGTCAAGTAAAAAAAATATTTTTTTAATTTATAGCAATAAAAGCAATTTAATAATTGATAAAAATATTTGTTTTATGAATTGGTTTTATTATGTATGACTAGAATTTCAATCATGTTAAAAAAATAATGATTTTTTAGATAAATATTTACTTATTTTATAATTTTTATAAAACTTTCAGTTTTAAAAAAATATTTTTTAAAGGAAAACGCTACAAGTGTAGAATAAGAAAAAAAAAAAAAAAAAAAAAAAGGGAGAAAAAAATAGATTATTTAATGCATTAATTAATTTAAGACAATATTATGAAATATCATCAAATATTAATGTAATTTTATAATAATTACATAACGAACTAAGGTACTTGCAAATCAGAAAAAATTAAAGTTTTAAATAAGTTTAATTTAAAAAAAAATCAATTTGACATATATATTTTTATAATTTTCTTCGCTACTTTCTGGCGGACTATATCGGTTACTTTTAAATAAACTTTATAACAATTAAAGGCTAAAAAATAAGTCTCTAACAAATAAAACAGCATAATAAAGTTTTTAAATTTTAAAAATAATGACTTTTCGGAGCTTTTAGCAAGTATTATCAGCAAATTTTTTAATTAATTCCAAGGCCTATGAAAAAAAAAAAAAAACTTAAAAAAAAATTTTTGCAGTGTTATGCAAGCGAGTTAAAATTAAATTTTTTTATAAATAAAATAAAATACCTGATGATCCTGAATGGCTTTGGTAATTTCGCCTTGAACATTTTTGATATCACTTTTTAAAGTAGCCGAAATCTCCATTGTTAAAAAGAAAAAATTAGTCAGACTATTGGAAATATTCGACACTGTTCACCAACAGGCCGCCATGTTGAGTCTTCTACAGGCCGCCTTACAGGAACTATTTCTAGCCAAGGTAAGCATTGACGACCTTATGGTTTATTAACAAACAGGAATTGGCGGTGAAGATTTTTAATATACTTTTGTCCGTTTACAAAATTTAAAACTAATCATTTTTCTTATAATAATAATACATCTTTTATTATTTATTAACAAAAAACAAAAAATTTAAAAAAAAAAAACAATGCTAATAATGAAAATTAAGATGCTTTTTCTTCAATAAACATTAATTTCATAGCAGCGAATTTCAGAAAAAGATTCTTTTTTTATTGTGAAAGAGTAATTGAAAAACTTAAACAATGTTTTTATAAATAAATAAAATTTTTGAAAATAATCAATAAATGAAAATTTAGCTATCAAAATTCATTTTTTTTATTTAAAAGTATTATTTCAAAAATTGAAATGTGATTTAATTTAGAAACTGCTACCAGGTCATAATTTTTTTCGTGCCTTTTTTTTTTTTAAACCCCAGAGCTCATTCTAGGCAACACTGTGGCCTTCAGTGCTTCATGTACGAAAAAAATTCAAGACTTTTGTCAGTTATTGATGTGCCATTAAGTTTTAATTTATATTTTTAACATATTTATATTTGTTTTTTATTTTTTTATTTTAAATTTATTTTTACAGTTCATGGTAAGCCTAATTAAGGAAATATTTTAAAATTAACCTTATCTGTTTATATATTGTTTTTTTTTTATTTATTGAAATTGAGAATGCTCAGATAGATTTTTGGCGCAATGCCTGAAAAACTCTATTTATGCCGAAAAAAATTAATCAGATTTGTTGATTTGTAAAAAAAATTCATTTCATTATAAAATAAGTATTCAATATTTCTATAAATCGAAGCAGTGCTTTTAAAAAAAATCCACCTTATGTTGCTATGAAAAATAACAATTATTGCATATTTAAACATTGGAAAATTTAAACCAAATCTCTTATTTTGATTTTCTTAAGGTTCTTATTAAGGAAAAGTTAAATTTTACTAAATTTGTAATAATAATAAGTTAAATATAAGTAATGAAATGTGTACTTTTTTTAGAATTACATGTACTTTTTTATTTGAAATATAAAAAATTTAACTTGATTTTTAATTACAGAAATGTCTAAACGTGCTGCATCAAATGATTTAAATCAAGATAATTGGGATCAGGAAGATGAACCTGAAGAGCCCCAAGAGTTCCAAAAAGCATCTGCTGATGTTCTCGAATCAAGAGTAATTATTACAGCTAAGCGTCGAATTCAAGACTCTAACAGTTCAGGGTCAAAACCAAGCCCATTTTCAAATTTTAGTGGCTTTGGAAAAGCTACTTCAACTTCTAACCTTGCCTCACCATTTGCATTTTTAAATCAAAATAAATCTAAAACAGATGATAAAGATAAAAACGGTAAAGGAACAAATGAGCATTCCTCGCTTTTGAAAGAAGGTTTATCCCAAACTAAGAGCTTAAGTAGTTCATCATTTTTATCAAAAGAACCGCAAAAAAGTGTTGCATCGCCTATGTTTTTTGACTCATCAAAAACTAACACAGATTCCTCTGATTCAACATTTAAACCTTTTGAGCATATTTTTAAAACAAAATCTCCAAGTTTAGATAACAAAAAGTCGCAAAATTTAGAATCATTAAAAGAATTAAATTTAAGTTGTAGTAGCTGGATAGCTAAACATTTAGAAAAAAATCCATATTGCATTTTAACACCAATTTTTAACGATTATAAAAAGCATTTAGAGGAGCTTAATTTAGATAAAGAAATAAACAAAGTAAATGATGAAGTAAAGTCTGATAAAACAAGCCCAACAAATAATGTTAAGTCAGAAATTCCTAAAATTGACAACTCTAACAAGGAAGTTTCTATTGAATCGAATAAGGAAGAAAAAAAAGAAAGTGAAAAAAGTAATCAGTTCAAATTTGGATCGTTTTTACCAAGCAAACCTTTTAATCTACAATTCAATAGTAATTATCTTATCAATATACGCATGAATCATAATAACAATAATAATAATAATAATAATAATAATGACTTTCTTCTAACTACAATTAAAATTTTTTTTTTGTAGATGTAAACACAACATTTGAATCATCACCTGCACCTTTTAGTCTCAATCGAATTGCTGCCAAACCGATTAATTTAGAACCAGATTCGAAAAAAGATGATGAGGAAAGTGAAGAACCTCCGACAAATGATTTTACTCCTGTTGTTGAAGAAGACAGTATATTTGATATAAAGTAAGTCAAAATTTTTACTTTACAAATCCATAGATGGAATTATTTCACAATTTATTATTATTACATTAGAAAACTATTAACATCCATTTAATTAATAACAAAATTTTACTTAAATTTTAATTCAGATGCAAAATTTTTGTTAAAAAAGAGGATAAATTTGTATCGAGAGGAGTTGGAACGTTATTTTTAAAACCGGTTAAAGATAGTAAAAAAACTCAGGTCGTTGTGAGAGCTCATACAAGTTTGGGAAACATTCTTTTAAACATTTTGCTCTCTCCCGGAATGCCAATACAAAAAACTGGTAAAAATAATGCCATGTTGGTTTGTATACCTACTCCAGAAAGCGAACCTCCTCCGGTACCAGTTTTAATACGAGTTAAAACGAGCGAAGAATGCGATAATCTTATTAAAAAATTAGAAGAATGTAGAGACGCTTAATTTTTGACTTAAATGGTATATAAAAATTAAAATGTTAGTCAAGTTGTGTTTTTTTATTTTTTTTTATTATTATTTTTTTTTTTATATATATTCATTGCTTTATTTTATTTAAATGAACGATTTGACTTTAGCTGAACAGTAGATGAATTTTTTTTTTTTTTTTTTAATATCAAATCAAGGAAAAGGAAAAAAAAAAAAAAGAAAAGTTTTTTTAAAAAAAAAAAATTTATTTTTATTTTTTTTTTTTTTACTAAATTCATCCTTTAATAAAAGTCTCGAGTCATATTATTTTTTACAAAATTTCTGTTTGGTAATATATTATGGTAAATTTAAAAAAAAAAAAAAAAAAATTTATTTTAATTTTTTGTTAATTTTCGCTAAAACATTCCAGCATGAATTCCGATCGGTATTAATAAACCAATGAACAACAGAATATTTCTTCCAAGTGTGAACATATTTGTGGGAACGGCATAAGGCAAAAGTGTGTTGGTTATTTCGTGAACCTGAATAAGAAAAATGTACACATCTATGCAGGTAAATAATATTAATAATAATAATAAATGTTTTAACAAATACTAACAATACATTTTTAGTAGTTGGGGTAGGGGGGGGGGGAAATTTAAATTTAAATTTAAAAAAACAAACATTCTCACCTCGTGAGCTGCGCAAACAAATATAAAACTAGTTAGGAACACATTTAAATTAGAATATTTGGGAAGCAAAACTAAAATCCCGTTTAAATCTCCCGCTAACCATATGTGAAATTGTCCGACGCATAATTCTAATGATATTTTTCCAAACCATGCGAAAAACGTTGAGTATTTGGTGCGTAAAACACCGGATATGTTTCTTAATATTATGTATGATATTATCTGAAAATTTTTTAAAAATTCAATTATAAATGCGTTTAAACGAACGATCGATGGGGAGGGGGGGCGTTTTTTTCCCCCAATATTAACTCACCGTTAAAAATGTAGCATACGAATGTATTTCGGTGCATTCGCTCCAATCCGTACATAAAAGAGCGAAAACAACGTAACAACCGATGCCCAAAATACTGACTAGACTTAATAGTAATGATATTTTATTTGAGAAAAGATTGTTGTGGTTGTTGTCGTCTATAAGGCTGTAACGTTGAGCTAATAAAAGTATCGATGAGAAAATCATACCGCATAAAACGCTGTAACGTTCTCGTTTCCAACTTTCCCACCATAGGGAAATATCATCGTCGGCCGTAACGAACAATGCTTTCCAGGGACGAGTGACAAATATTTTTTCGAAAAATACCTATTCGAAATGAAAAATAAATAATCACAATAAGGTTTTTATTTTAATTAGGTTTAATTAGGGAAGGGGGAAGGGAAATATCAAACCTCTGACATGTACAGTGTTGCAATAACGCCGAAAAAAACGACAAATTTAAAAACCAGGTACAGATATTGTATCGGATGATTGTCTGACGATTGATTCGTTATGTGAGGTGGTACGATTAAAAAAACTTCCATCATTACAAACCAAAAGGATACCAATGGTAAAAATTCGTAAAATTGATAAGGCCTATTCATACATAAACAAACGACAAACTGCATAAAATTGAGCCTGAAAAGAACCTGTAAACAAATTAAACAAAGTTTTTAATTTATTTATTACAAGTAATAAAACATTTTTCCGGTAAAATCTTTTACAAAAATATAAGAAAAAAGAGGTCTTTTTTTAGTTTCAATTAAATATAATAAAGAAGACGTTAAAAACGGCATGCATGCAATACTTATAGACAAAGCCAGGCTATTTATAATGTTTAGTATAGGACGATGAGGAGGAGGAGGAGGAGAGGGCGGGGGGAGGGGGAAAAACACGTCGATTTTAAACTTCGATAAAAGCACGATTTTTTATTTCCAAATGCTTACTCTAAAAAACCTAACAATGCTTCCATCTCCGCTATGCCAATAATAAAAAAAATGTCCATATCCCGATAAAAACACATAAGCTGAAATAATGACCCTGCTAAGAAGGAATATAGGTAACACTTTTTGTGCACCTGTCCAATGATAAATTAACAGTACTAGTTGCATCCACCCTAAAACCACAAAAAAAAAGGTAACAAACAAATAATATTTAATTAGTTATGTATGAAACGTTGTTAAAAATTTTTTTTTTTTAAATTTAATCATGAAAGTATTTTTGATTGTTAATCACGTGAAAGTTAAACTTATTAGTACCACATTTATTATTATTATTATTATTATTATTATTTTAAGCTTTTTATTTAATATTTATCAAATGAAAACTTTCGATAATAATTAACCGTCACCTAAAATGTTTTATTATATTATTTTTCATTTCATATAATTTTACAATGCACATTTTACAATAATGTAAGTTGTAATATGGCTTATAAGGTTAAATTTAATTCATTTGCCTTTAAAAAAAATCTCTTCAAATGAATTTCTTACATTATCGATAAAAATAATTTGTTCCAAATTTTATGTTTTTACCTTTCCATTCATCCGTTTGATTTCTGTGCAATACTTTAGAATTTCCACTGTCTTCGGTAAAAAATAATCCGACACATAATATGTATACAATAGGTATCCAAAAAGCAGATTGAGAAAATGTTTTAGTTTCTTTCATGAAAAAATTAGTTCTGAAAATTTTAGGTATAAATATTATTAAGATTCTTTAATTTAGTAAATTTCATTAAATGCATATTTGTATAAATAATTACCTGTCACAAATGTAAAAATAAGTCATGATAAGAGCTAATTTAGCTAAAGCAGAAAATATAATTGTAAATTCAGATTGATGATGAGTAGATTTTTCAGTTTTATTTTTAGATTTTTTAAATGTTTCTATAAATTTTGCAAGCACAGCCAATAAAAAACTGTAAATTAGAAAGACATTCGAATGAACAAAAATTAATTGCAATCGAAATTTTTTTTAAATGGGACTTATTTTGTAACATTTAAATTTGCCCAATACATACCATATAAATAAAACAAAAAATGTAATGATTTGAAGGGATGTATATTGTTCAGCACTGCTGCAACAGCTTCCATCTTGAAAGTTCATACGATCATTACAATAAATATTTAATAAAATTTGAGCACCAGTTTTTTTAGCTATATGTTCTGATGGTAATAAAACACCATCTTTCATGTCATCTAAAAATGGAGCAGCTAATTTTTTAAAGCTAATTAATAAATCAACTTTACTAAATTTCAAAACCTATAAATTACAATCAAAAAATTATTCACTCGTTTGTAATTCCGATTTTAAATATTAAATACTTACTTCTACGGCTGCGTTATTGTATAAATCAATTATTGAATTATTAATAATTTGGTTTTCTAAAGCCATATTGCTAAATTTGACAGGTTCTTGTAAGGTCCAAATGACTTTGACATTTTTAAAAACTAATTCATTAAAAATTGGCACTAAATTTGTTAAATTGTTTTTAAATTGTTGCAATTTATCGAAAGCATTTCGAGTCTTTAATAATTGATTAATTCCAAAACCTAACATTAATACACTAGGATAATTATTTTTACTTTTCCACTTTGTCACATTCATACCGAAAGGAACTAATAAGAAAGGATTATATTTGTATTCTATTTGCAGTCCCAAATGAGGATCACTATAAGATTGTGTGCCATTATGTTTGAAAATAAAATTACTGTTAATCGTTTTTAAAAATGCACTATAAAACTGAAATATTCTCGAATCTCCGACAAATGTAAAATGATTGTATTGACCGAAAAAGTGATGTAATTTAAAACATTTTTTGGTATCGATTTGGGTATAATTATGCATCATACATCCATAAGGCTGCCACTCTTTCTTTCCATGATATCTTCCATCTTTCATAATTAAGGTGCATGAATTAATATCTATAAAAAAGTATATAAAGTATAAAAATAAAAGTTGTCATGTATTATAAATTTAAACGATATTTAAAATTTATAACTTAAAAAGTTTTTTTTGTCTTTAAATGATAAGTAAAAAAGTTGTTTTAATAAGAAATAATTATTTCATAGAAAAAATGAAAATTTTTCTAAGTTTATAACCGTTACAAGTAGGGTTAACTTTAAATAAAAGTTTTTAATTAAAATCCAATGAAAAAATAAAATCATTCGAACCATATTTTAAATGACGAAATCCGTGAAATACAGAAAATGCCAAAACAATGCATACTGCAATTATTTTTGCATTTTTAATATTTAATTTTTCAATAATACCATTTCCAGAAAGTAATTTTTCATAATTTGCAGCCATTTCTGTTTTCGTGACGCAGTGGTACCAACATACAAAATTAAATTTATCGTTTTTTCAGTTAAAAGTGTAAATTTTTTTTCAAATTCATACTACTAAGAATCACATGAAAAGTTTAATAATATTTTATGTATTTTACAAAATAAGTGTTTAAATGTGTTTACTGATTAATTTATTTACTCAAAAAAATAAGAAGTTTTCAGGTAGTTTGTTTAAATTTGTTGATAAGTTTTAAATAGAAATTTTATCTTTATATCTCGTTTCACAGAGGACATTTTCAAGTAAGTTTTTTTTTTTTTTTTTTTTTTTTTTTTACAAAAATGTTTTCAGATACTTATTATCTTTTTTTTGAGCATTTTATTTATTTTAAATAAGCCTCTCGGGTAATTATTTAAGGATTAAACATTTCAATTTAATCAATTTCAAATTATTATTTGGTAATTATTAACCTATTGTGGGACAGGGCAATTAAATGGAGATACCTTTATTTGCGCCAAAGTGTAAAAATTTTTTCCAATAAAATCTTTTTTTTTTCCACTAATAGAAAAAGATTTCATTTATGTAATTCAATAATTATTAAACTTAGGTGATATTAATAATTTTTTTTTAAAAAAATTAGGACAAATTCTATAATTTACATATATTTATATTTAATGTTAACTTATACAAATATTCTTTTATGCTACATAGAATAAATTATTGTTTGAATAACAAATTATTACTTGATATATTTTCTTTGAAAAAAAAAAATAATAATAATAATAATAATAACTGGCTTTTTTACTTTTGAACAAAAAAAATAATAATAATAATCTACTTAAAATATTTTTTTAATTAACTTAGAACTGTATGTAATTTGTAAAAAGAAAAATTTTTTTTTTTTATATTCAATCCAACACCAAGTCTAAATATTTAATTTAGATAAAAAATATTTTATCAAATTTAACACTTTTTTTTTATTTGCAATATAAATATATATTAATAAGTGTTTTTATTGAGTGTTGCACTAAGTAAGACAGAATAAAAAAGAAATTTTAAATTTTACACAAAATAATATTACAAAGAAAGATGGGATGGTGGATGCCAGTTTTTAGAAATTTCTTGTCTTTTTTTTTTTTTTTTTTTTTTTTTACCAGGGTTTATTGATTTCAATGTAATATAGTTAAAATGGCACATTTTAACAAACTGTTAATTCTGTTGTTGTTGTTTTATGTCATATATTAAAAGGACACGGTTTCAATTCTAAAAATTGAAAAGGAACATGCAATGAGGTATTGTTATGAGCAACCAAAAGATGTCCACGCCTTGGAGATGCACCCAAAACAAGAACCGTGTCTCCTTGAATTAGAGCTGGATCATTTGTACCTTCTGAAATAACAAAAAAAAAGGGGGGGGAAAAAAATTTGGTATCGTTTTGCAATAGTTGGCAATATTGTTTATCTTTAATGTAATTCATTTACCCGGAAAAGACATTTTCATTACTCTTGTCTGGGGGTAACCTAATTTACTGTTTCCTGTAACTGTGTATGGCCTACTAGGTGGAACAGGTGGTGGTCTTTCTAAATCTAAACCGAATAAAGTACAAGTTTGCTGAATCATTTTCTGGTCGCATTTATCAGTCGGATCGGGAGGAGGAGTACCAGCAATTGGTTGAGGTCGAGGTCTTACGCCAATTCCAGCACCGCCGATCAAGGGTCGATTTTTGTTATTTATTTGTTTCAAACCTATATTTATAAAAATAATTTTAGCAGATGAATTTTTTTAATAAGAAAAAAAGGGATTTTTATTTCTTTTCTTACCTAAGTTGGCACCGATGCTATTATTATTTGCATTCGTTATTATAGTACTTGCATTGTTAGAAGCGTTTGCCGGATTTGTATTTTTGGCGTTTGATAAATTGCACGCATTAAGTTGCAAAGCTAGGGAACGGCGAAGTGCAGGCCATCTTCTTCTGGTGTACCATCCTCGCCAATTGGCTTGAATAATTACAGCAGATCGATGCCTTGTTGTACTTCGAAGATGTTCAAGTTGTTGTCGCGCTCCTTCACTAAAATAATAAGTAAAAAGATTTAATTTTTAAAGGTGTGTTTTCACTTGAGTATTGAAGTACCCTAATAAAATCATTATCATTTGATTTTTATCAAAAAATAAATAAAAACGCACTTTGGTTAATTAGAATTTTTTTTTTACCTCAAAAATATATGTCGTTTTCCAAAAGCCCAACTGGTCGATACCTGAGATGTTGATTGCTCTGGTCTTAAAACTAAACAAGATAAAATTGTATTCATATCTTCGTTAATTTTATCTTCACCTCTTCTGAGTCTGCATGAAGGAGCCAAAAGTTTGTAGCGAGAAACAAATATTTTAAACCTCATTCGATGCGGATATCCTAAGTATAAAAAAAAAAAATTGATGAAATGAAAAAAAAACATTTGAAAAATGTTACGAGGATTTATTAAAATTACCGCCAGCCATCAAATTAACAGTTTCTAAAACTTGAAGTGATCGAATTTGTGTCATGACGACATTTCTGTCGAAAACATTTGGCTCTTCTGCAGCATTACTTCGAATGCACCTCACAAAATGTGGTCTGGCATGAACTAAAGTACGTAATAAATTATCAAGTCTTGTATGAAAATCTTGAGTTAGCGTAGAAACAGGTTCATCTCCATTTAAACTAAATAAAAATAATTAATTCATATTAATTCAGAAAAAAAAAGAAATTTGAAAAAATTTAAACAAATTGATATTCACATATCAGTCACGTGAGACGTTGGAGATATTCTAAAACTAACTCCTCTAGGTACTTTTTCAGTCGAATACAAAGCTTTTAGCTCTGAACCAAATAAATGAGTAGCAAAACCAAAAGTGCAATTTTGTTTGTGAAAAACTGCAATTAGGTCATCTGGGACAATATCACGATTGGTATCTAAAAATTTTAACGAACAAATATTAAGCTTTGGTCAAAAATTCCTTTTTTCATGAGGAAGAAACTCAGGCAAATCAGGTTATCGTTTAAATCGCAAATAATAATTACCTAAAAATTCTGAGGCATCGTATACAACTTTACCAGCAAAATGTTGAATACCAAAAGTTCTTAAGCCGAATTGTTTGGTTTCTAGAAGCCTTTGATTCTGCTTGTGTTGAACGCGAATTTTAGACAAGTACGATTCTGCCGTACCTCTCACCGAGCATTCAACATCGAGCATACTTAATAAACCTGTTCTCTAAAATAATATTTCCATTATAAATAATTTTACAAAATAGTTTTTTTACTAAATGTAAAAAAAAAAGTTTGGATTTTAATCGTACCAATGAAGAAATGAGATCTATACAAGGAACATTATCGACGTAATCAACTTCTACGTCGCATCTAATTCCTTCATCCCGACAAGATTCAATGCTGGATTTAAATATATGAGTGTTATAAAAATGTTGCATTGTTTCAGCACAAAGATTAATACAGAGATGTTCTAATTGACTCGGCTAAAAATCAAAGGAATCGTAATGTTAAAACCAAAAAATTGTTTTCTGATTTATATAAATTTAATTGGGTGAAATCAATTCAGGGAAAATAATTCAGGAAGGAATGTACCTTTGGATCTTCAAAACCGAACATATCTAGTATTCCAATAAAACCGTCTGTGGCATGTCTGATGGCATTGTTAAGAGCCGCCATTGATTTTGAGCTTTTGGATCCCGATGTACCAATAGTAGAAGCGTGTTGGCTAGCTACGTCTGCTTGATTGTGAACTGATTCGTTAGAATCCGATGATAAAGTTCCTAAAGTAGAACCAAGTCGTTTCAGACTATTCGCTCGTCTGACTATGGTGGCCACCGTTCGGCAGTAAAGGGCTTTGGCAAGAGAGTCTCTCGTCATGTTAGACTGTAAAGATTTATAAGAGGCATTTAAATTTTTTAGGATAAAGAAAATGTAGAAGAAGAAAAATGTTTTTTTTGTCTTACAATATTGGCATCGCAGAATGATTTGACAACTTGTCCCAGAGTATTATGAGTTCTGATGTAAGACCCCGGAATAAAGCCTGAGGAGATACTCCGAGTAAACCAGCTACGGCATTTAAGTTCTGCATCTCCGTACACGTCAACTTCTCTTCCTCCACTATCGACAAATGCTATATTTCCAAGAAGTAAAACAGCTGCCAAAACACGAACAACGTCCACGAATGGTATTCCTAAAATACCTGTATTAAAACCGTCGAATTTTTATTTTCAGGTTGACTACAATAATCATTTTTAAGGCTAGTATATAAACATTTAAATTACCTAAACAAGTTTTCCAAGCTTGAAATCTTGCAGCGTCTTCCGCTGTATCTTGACATAAGTCTCCTTGTTGTAAATACCTTAAATTTTGTACTGTATACCCTTCTAGAGTAAGTTTAGCTAAAAGTCGTATAATAAAGAGTTATATAAATCGCCATTTATATTGTTAAAAAAAAATGTTTAGTATTTTAAAATGAGCTTACTTCGCTCTTCTGGAGTCAAACCCGCGAGCATTTGATAAAAGATGTGATAATTTTTTTCTGTCGGAGGTTGCTTTATTACTCTAGTTTGATCTAAAAAGTAACAATGAATTTTCGTTCTGTATAAGGCACCATCAGTCACTTGAACTTCTATGAATTGACCCTGTAAAATGTACAGAAATTTTTTTACGATAACATTCTAATACTACTAGTGCAATACAATTTTTTTTGTAAAAAAAAAGTATTACAATTCTACTGGCTTCTGAACTGGAAGCAGTTTTTGCACTACCCAGAGATCGAAGAACCGTAAAAGCTGCAGCCAAATGTTTAAACGCATCCGTTTCCGGACCACCACCTGCTATTTCAAAGAGCTGCCGAAGGAGGAGCATTGATGTGTACGTTTTTCCAGAGCCGCTACATCCTAAAAACGAGATTTTATTAACTCTAATTACATACTAGAATCTATTTAAAATTAGAATTCAGGAAAAAATAAAATTTTACCTGAGAGTATTATGGCTTGAGGATAACCAGTTTCAGATTGCTGATTGACAGCTTCTTTAACAACGTGTAAAAGTCTATCGCCTAATACTTTATTTCTTGTGCTTGTCAACGTTAAAGGATTTCCTACATCCATGTAAGGATTTACTGACAGCAAAATTGATCCTACGTTGGTCTGTAAAATAAAATTTGCTAATAATTTTTTGTAATTTTTTTTTGAAGTGAAAATTTTATTTGAAAAACAGGAAAAAAAACTAACGAAATATTGTGAAACGCAAAATCTGGCCTGAAGACATTTCATAACAGCATCCTCTGTTAGAGGACCTGCAAGATGAATAAGATCCTGGACATCAGTCAAACCTACAGATTTAAGAACCAATGGCGGCTGTTGATTTTGTGATTCCGTCGTATTTCTTTTCTTTTCGTTCGGTTCTAAAATTTAAAATCAAAGAATAAATAATGGACTCGGAACTAATTTATTTATCCAATATTTTATTTACAATAAAATTTTTACGGTTGAAAATTTTATACGCTAAAGAAAAAAAAAATATATATATATGAGAAGGAGGAGAAAAAAAAAAGTAACTTGAATTTGTAATTTAATTTACGCTCTGTATAATTATAGTACGATGGCACATTCATTATGAATTCAGTCTGAAACAATTTTTTTACTCGCGGCTAAACAAAATGTCTACCTAGTACCGTTCTAAATTCTGTATATTTTACTTTTTTATGCCCTGATTTATTTATTTATTTTTTAAAAATACAATTCTATGTATTTATTATTTTGTACGTTGACTAATATGAAAAAAAAAATAAAAATTTTTTTATCCACGTTGTAAAAGTTGATTTGAAAAAAAGAAAAAAAAAATAAATACCTATTATGATCGGAGTTAAAAGAGGCAAAGGTGGATGCTTCATAGGAGCCGGAGAAAGAGGTACCGGTGCTATTGGCTGAGCAGATCCGGGCTTGGCACCAGGTACGGGGCCCTTCCCCGGAGTACTTGTGGGACTTGCCACATGAAGACGATTTCGAAGAGTCACCAATTCGGTACTTAAACTCCTAAGCCTTTGTTGCAAATGAACAGCTTCGTTTGAGGACGATGCATCTAAAGATAAAAAAAAAAATTTTTTTTTTTTTTATTTTATTTTATTTCTCGACATTTTTATTTTTTCTTCTCTTTTGAACTCTTACGTCATCATAAAAAAAAAAAGAAAACAAGTCTCAAATAAATAAAAGTTTATGTTCGTGCAAAAGGGAAAGGCCTAAAAGGGGAGGGAGGGGGGGAAAACTTTAAAATTAGGTAGTGGTAGTTCTTGTAAACATTAGCAAACTTGTTTGATACCATTTCCGCTGTTGGCAATATTCTTGGCAATAAAAATAATTTTCAAAATATATTTTCGAAACTATGAAAATCCTTTTGAAAAAATTTCTTTTTTTTTTTTTTTGTTCTTTCATATTAATTTTAGAAACTTTTTGTGTGTGAGTTTTGTTATGTTGGTACGATTATCTGCGGTTTGTGTTAGTAAACCACCATTAAAATGTCCTTGGATTTATTTTATAATGATTTTAAAATTACATAAATTAAAGGATGGATGTGATGCATTTTGTATATGACACCATAATTACTCATTTTCAAAAAAAAAAAAGATTCATTTTTATTTTTCTTTTACATAACCTATTTATTTACTTTTTGTTTTGATAGTTTAACTTGTAAAAAATTTTTCAAAATAACAATATTATGAAAAAAAGTTTCCTGTTGATTTTTAAAATAAAAATTTTAATGAATCCATTAGTATATAAAAAAATTATAAGATTAATATACTTTTCTTATTATCTTTTATATTTTAGTTTTGTATACAAAAGCTAGCGGTATTTTTTTTTTATTCTTTCAATATCTCTTTCTCTCTCTCTCTCTTTCTCTTTCTCTTTCATAAAAAAAAAAAAAACAGAAAGAGTTAAGAATGACTTGCAAAATCATTTCTTTCTTTTCTCTCTCTTTGAAACTATTATTTTAAAATAAAAATATAAAAACATAATGTTGAGATCACTTTTATAAATTTTATAATTTAAAAATATTTTTTTTTTGTTACCAACGTGAGAAACATAAAAAATAAAATAAAATTACGTTTTTATTTAAAAAAAATTTTTAACTCGAATTATTATTATTATTAATATTTATTCATTATTTTGTTTATTTTAACGGTTATGAAGGGGAAAAAAAAAATACAAAAAAAATTTCTTTTTTTTTTTTTTTTTCGTAACACGTGCCTACAAGTTTAAAAAACCGCGGCCAATGTCTTCTGCTTCTTTTTCTTCTTCTTCCAGGTTTTAGCGACGAAAGCTGTTTACCTTGAGAAGGTGGATTTGCTCATGAAATAATAATATTTAAAAAAAATACATCTTTCTTCGAACCATAATAATAATATTTTTTTGAGTTCATTTTTTCATCCTTTGAAACATGTTCTCATTATTTTGCAAAAAAAAAAACGTGATCCGTCCGCTCAATCACGGAATCAATTAACCGATTCATCATCAGGTAAAATAAAAATAATTTTTAGTCAAGGAAAAAAAAATAAGGTCGAAACATTATTATTATTATCATCATCATTATTATCCATCGCCATATATATTTATTATTGTTCGCCATTATTTTTTTCCCCGTCAAAATTTAAAAAAAATAATTTTAAAGCTTTTATTAAAAAAAAAAAAACGCTCTTCGCACAATTCGAAACGAAATAATTTTTTTTTTTTTTTTTTTTTTTTTAGGATTGGCAACACTGTAATAACGACTTTTTCAACGTCTTCTGCTAACGACGGAATTCTCAAATGTAAGTTTGAAAAAATTTTTTTCTTTTGCTTTAAATTTTAATAAATTCGTTTATCGATATAAAGTAAATAAATAAATAAATAAAAATTTATTAAATAAATTTATTTACTTTGTAATTATAATAATAATAATAATAATTCCGATTCCGGTTGTTTAATGGTAATTATATAACGGGTTTTGTCGGGGTTTTCTTTATTAAGAATTGAGTAAAAAAAAAAAAAAAAAAAATTTTGCCGCCCAAGGATTTTTCGAAATCGGCTTATTCACAAATAAATTTAGAGGGAAAAATTTTTTCTTTTTTTTTTTATAGTAATAATTTTGACGTGTTATTAATTATTCTAGTTTGTTTTAACTTTCTTTAAAAAAAAAAAAAAAATCATTTGTTTTTTTTTTTTTTTTTTTTCCATAAGTTAAATTATATTAATTGCCTGAAGGTTTTATTTTACGTATAATATTGCCAAAGTTTTTAACGAAATTTCTTTTATTTTTTTTCGGTTTTATTGTAATTAGGTTGACAATAACGTGTTGTTGTTGTTGTTGTTTATTGACCACCTGTCCCCTTCCCCCTGCCCCCCTCGCGGTTTTTTTATATTATGAAATTATTTATTATTAAAAAATCCCCCCTCCCTCCCTCCCATTGACTTGTTGTACTTGTGATCGTTTGTTTTGCTCCCGTTAAAAAAAAAAAAAAAAAAAAAAAAAAATTATTTCCTGTTTTTTTGTATTGATTTCAAGTTTTTGTTGTTGTTTCCCTATTGAAATTAATATTTTGACATTTTTTTATACATTAAAATAACATACCCCCCCCCATACGCCCATTGTCACGATTACTTACTATTATTATTATTATTATGTAAATGTTTATCGTTACGTAATAAATTTTTTTTTTATTACGTGTCGTTACATGGTACGACGATCACACATTTACAAATTTTGTAATTTTTTTGCAAAATTTATCAATTATTCTCTCTCTCTCTCTCTCTATTTATCTATCTATCTTATTATTATTATTATTATTATTATTATTATTATTATTATTATTATTATTATTATTATTATTATTTCTTTTAATTCACGTAAAACATACGCAAATAACAGTTTCGAATACATATACTTTCTTTTCTTCCCTTCGTACCCTCCCCATTCTTCCCTTCCCTTTCCCCTTCCCCCCCAGAATTTAATGTGACCGATGAATTGATGGGTTTGTCTTTTCGAAAGGTTTCAATAGAAAATTTAAAATAATAATAATAATTGATATTATTATTATTATTAAAACAATTGTTTTCCATTTTTTTTTTGAAAGTCAAGGCCCTGCTCATCATTAAAAAACAATTGTATTGTGTGGTACAAAAAAAAAAGAAAGACACAAACACACACGCAAATGGTAACCTTTTGTTCTTTTTCTATTTCGTATACGTCGATTATTTAAATTAACATTATTATTATTATTATTATTATTATTATTATTATTATTATTATTATTATTATTATTATTATTATTATTATTATTATTATTATTATTACTATTATTATGTAAAAAAATAATAACGAATTAAATAATAATAATAATAGAAAGAGAAACGATCGTAACTAAAAGAATATGATAATTAAAATCCATGTGATTTTAACTTTATTATTATTATTTATTAATTAATAATTTTTTTTTTTAAAATGATTATTATGTATGCGCGAACGAATAATTAAATTAATAATAATACTAATAATAATAATAATAATAATAATAATAATAATAATAATAATAATAATAATAAGAAATAGAAAGTTAATGATATGTTAGAATAATGATATTATTATTAATATTATTCAACTTCTTTTTTTTTTATTTATTTCATTAATAAGTCGAAAAGGAAGAAGGGGGGGAGGGAACAGTTTTAACATAAAATTTTTATGTAATGAGAGAAAATAAAAAAAAAAAAAAACTTTCCACGGGCTTTTTTTGTTTTTTGCGAAGGAAAAAAGATTTTATTAATAATAATAATAATAATTATTATTATTATGATTATCATTCGTAAAATAATAATAATAATAATAATAATAATAAATTTAATAGTTTGCGACCATTTTGTTTTTGTTTTTTTGTTTTAAAGGTGATATATTTATATTATATAAGAAATTCGTGTTCGTTCGTGTCAAATCGTGACTGAATAAAAGCCATAATAATAATAATAATAATAATGATAATAATACTTTTCTAAGATTTCATTTCTAATTATTTATTTTATTTTTATATCATCGTAAAAAAAAAAAAAAAATGAAAAACAACCTACGGATCTTATGGATTTTTATTTAAAAATAAATTTTTGTTGTTGTTATTTTTCAAATCATTATTATTATTATTATTATTATTATTATTTTTTACCCATACGAGTTTATTTTTTTTTCACAGTTCAATTTATTTATTTTTTTTAGAAATCTTGACCTTTCCCACGTTATTTCATAAAATTATTTAATATTAACCTTAATTACTAAAAATCACGGTGTGAAAAAAAAAAATTTTTTTATTCGTTTTTACACTTATTGTTATAAATAATTTAATTCGAAAACGTATTAACAACAAATAATAATAATAATAATAATAAATTTGTTGTTGTT